GGGGGGGAGGGGGTCCCCGCTGAGGCCAGTGCCTGCCCCCTCGCCACAGGCGTGGCCACGACGGGCGTTAGAGGAGCCGCTCCATCCGCTAGGCCTCCCGCCTCTGCTCAGGGCAGGGCTGAGCCAGGAGCCAGAGTTCAGGGCACCACCGAGGGGCAGTTCAGTCAATATGCTGATGTCTCTTCACCTGCCAGCACTACCCCAGGGCCACTTTCAAGGGCCCCTGGCTCCCGCCCAGCCCTCCCAATGCCGGGGTCACGCAGGTAGAGACGTGGCCAGAGGGATAACGGTCCCACGGCTGGCTACGTGACCTCGCGTGGTACAGGGCCTCGGCAGTGTGCTCAGGTCAGGGCCCGAGGCGACGATGCTCCCGGCTCCTTTGGAGACCCAGGGTCCTCTAAAATGGGGAGTGGGCACCAGGTCAGAGGAGACACAAAAGCAGAGTTGGCAACGCAGTTTGAGGATGGAAGAAGGCGTCCCGCGCCAACAGAGACGGAACCAGACCAGCAAAGCTCCTCCCCCAGGCCCTCCGGAGGAAACCAGCCCTGTTGACGCTGGCCTTCAGACTCCTGGCCTTTTGAACCATCCGAGAATAAATGTCTGTTGTTCTAAGCCACCAAAACTGCGGTGCCTTATTCCAGTGGCCCTAAGTCTAGGGACTGGGAAAGAAGGGCGTTAGCCTCTGTCTCCGCGTGGCCCAGCGACTACCGGGGTGGCCACAGGCAGAGCTGAGAGAGGGCTGTGTGGCACCGTGGGCAGGGGCGGCCCGCTGGGCCCTGCGGCTCTGCACCTGCCCTCTGTCCCACAAGCTGCCACGCGCTCCCTACGCTCGTCAGCTTCTTCCAAGCCCTTCCCTTCTCTTGCAGCTGAGCATGTGTCGAGTAAAACAATGATCTCGTTCTTCGTTTTTAATTTCAGAGGTCACACACGATCAGACCGGCGCCTGGGAGCAAGACTTCCTCCTCCGCGGTCAGCTCTGCCTGCCGGCGTGGACAGAGTGAGTTCAGAGCCTCGCTCCCACTTCAGGGGCCTGGAAGGACGAGCGGACTTTCCGGCCCATCAGGGGCTGCAGGGGCCGGTAGTTGTCCACCATCACCTTCTCTTCTTCGCCAAGTGCGGAAAACAGCGTGCGGAAGGCTGACAGCTGGAATGAGAGTGACACGGTGCAGGTGTGGAGGGGTCCAGGAGGACCCCCCCACGCTGCAGCAGGGACAGCCCCAAGCGACAGATGGAGCATGGTGGGAGTGACAGTGGTGGCCCCTAAGGCCAAGTCGTAGAGGCTGTGGCTCCCGTCGTGGTCTCTAGGACCTCATTTTCTGGGGACCCAGTCGCCATGCTGTGAGAGGACCGAGGCCTCCGGCCAACAGCCCAGCACCTCCTTCTGGCCACCTGAGCGAGCCACTTAGGGAGTGAGTCCTTCAGCCCCAGCTCACTCGCATCTACCACTGCGGGAGGTCGCAAGCCAGGACCGCCTGGATCCCTAACCCGCGGACGCTGGAGAGACTGGGAGAGACTGCATCTCAGCGCTATGAGTCACACAGCGACAGAACCGACTCGTGTCATGTAAGCGGAGAGGAGTGTTTGGGCTCACTTTCCACTCCGGGGACTGAAGGCTGTTTTGACGTATGGTCCCCTTGTTCTCAGAACATGGTCACGAACTGTGTGAGGAGACGTTGGTATTTAAGGAAGTTCCCAACTGTGGCGTGACCCACACGGCAGGCCAAGCAGCCCCTGGGTTGTGGTCTGCCCCCGCCCCAGGCAGGGAACTTGAAAGGCCACGCCCTCCCACCGCAGCCCCGGAGACCCAGCGCCCTGCTCTGCCTCTGTGCTAGCCTGGCCACCCCGCACTCCCGTTTCCTGCCAGCCAGCAGCGAGCTGTTGCGAACACCATTGTTCCTGCCCCGCTGTGCCAACACAGAAAGGCCACTGGTGACAAGCATGTGAGTGGGGTGACAAGAGGGTTTTTGGGGACAAGGGGCCACGTTTCCACCAAGGCTTTCCCCGTGTCTATGACAGTGCTGGTTTGGGGGCAGGGTAGATAACTTGCACCCCATCTCAAAGCAAAGGCTTCACCTCCGAACTTTCATAAAAGCACTCTTGCCCTGGAAGAGCTCACCCAAGTCCCTGTAAGAGCAGCTCTGAGCAGCTCCAAACCAGAGCGGATGAGTGGTGTGCGGCCCACCAGGATTGCCCACCTGGCCGGGAGGCGGCTGCGTGGGTGCCTGCTTGTCAGCCCCAAGCTCCAGACCACTGGGGACAGGCTAGCTGCAGACGCTTGAGATTTCCAGAGAGAAAGACAGCGTGGTTTACATACATGTACACGCACACGGGTCTGTGCGCACACACGTGTACACACATAATCTATATTAACAGTACATAAATGCATGTAATGTAGATTATGTAATAAATAGTGTGTGTTCCTAGTCTATGGACATGTACTGTGTTAGAGTATTTAGTCCACGAAAACGAAGGAGATAAACTGCGGCCGACCCCAACCCCGATGACGGCTTCAAATTTCTTTTTTTTTTTTTTCCTTGGAGAGGTTTTTGCTATAGGGCGTGTGCGCTCGCCAGACAGACAGAGAGAGACAGAGAGACAGAAAGCGAGAAATCACCCCCCAGGGGGGATGGCCACGCCGCAATCCCTTCTCTTCCATTCTCCTCTCAGGATCTTGGGCACGCACACACACGCGCCCGGCGTGAGTTTTAAGTCACCGGGTCCGGGACGCGAACTGCGGTCGACTACGTGGGAGTCCAGCGACATAGCCATTACGCTAACTGCTGGTCCCTCGGCTCCGAATTTCTGATGTGCACCTGTGTGAAGGGCGAGGGTGTCGCCCAGAAAGTACTTGGTGCTTCCTCCCTCACCACAGGCTTCGGCCTCACCCTCGGAGCTGCTCCAACTCAGCGTGTGGCGACCCCGTATGAGGGGGCTGCGAGCATGCTTGGACATTCTGCCATTGCCCACGGGAACACCCCCCACCCAGTAGTCACTGTTCCGGGAAGCGTCAGAGACACTGGACCCAGCCCACCTCCACCCACAGCCTTCTGCAGAGCTCAGCCGTCAGAGCCCGAGAGCCCCCTGCCAACCCACGGACCTACAGGTAAGAACAGTAAAAGCTCTGTTCTGGAGTCGGGGCAACTTGTTACACAGCATCATCGCAGCTGACTGACACGGTCCATCCGGACTTTTCTCTCTCATGTATAGTCCCATAACCTCTTCAGGCAGCACGAGGAGGTCCCTGCCATCCACGTTTCTTACTGCTCTGTCACCCACACAGATGCGGCAAACTCGCATCAGCCCTCCCTCTCCGATCCTGCTCTTCAGCGGTGTTCACCACGTGTCTATGCTGTGCCTTCATTGTTAGCGTTTTCTAACGCTGAGCAGGTCCCTACTCATGTCCCCTCTGGTGCAGGAGCCTTGTGCCCAAAGTCCTGTCACCTGGGCCACTTTCCCCAACACAGATGGGAGAACAAGTGCGATCCTGTTCACCATGCTCTCAGGACTCCTGCCAGGTGGGCCCCAAGCCACCATGTAACTGCATCTGGCATGGTGCCTGTCCCCAGCCCCCCTCACTCCCGGGCTCTCTTTCCTGCTAACTCTCAGTGTCGGGAAAGAGCCCTGATCACTAGACCCTGGGCCCCACCTCACCAGCTCCCATTTCTTTCTTTTTTTTGGAGAGGTTTACGCTATAGGGCGCGTGCGCTCACCAAAAAGACAGAGACAGAAAGCGAGAAATCACACCCCGGGGGGACGGCCACGCCACAATCCCTTCTCCATTCTCCTCTCGGGATCTTAGGCATGCATGCACACGCGCCCGGCGTGAGTTTAAGCCACCGGGTCCGGGACGCGAACCCTGGTTGACTACGTGGGAGTCCAGTGACAGCCATTATGCTAACTGCTGGTCCCACCAGCTCCTATTTCAACGTGTGGCGTCTGCCCTTTCTGTGCTGGACAATGGTGCCAGTAGCCTTTGCCCATCTCAGCCAGGCTGCTGCTCGGGGGCCGCCCAGTGACCTTCCCGGACCCTGCGGCCATTCCAGGGCTACTCACCTGGTCTGGAGCCACCTCGAGGGGCTGCTTCTGGATGATCCAGGTGACCGACTCAGTCAGTGGCGGGGTGGTGAGGGAGCCCGCGTAGGTCCAGTAGTCCTGGCAGGCAGGCAGCAGACAGGAGGGGTCGAAGGGGCCCATGGCCACCCGTGCGTCCTGAGAGGTGAGAGCACAGTGTGCGTTCTCTTCCAGCCCAGGAGCGCAGGAAGGAGCGGGCGGGTGGGCAGCGGGCGCCCCCTCCCCTCTGAGTGCGGCCGCAGTACTCGGAGGGAACCACTGTCCCGAGCTAAAGTCTCTGAGGCTGCGGCCTTCACGCTGGGAAGCTACAAGAAACTTGGCCCTCCTGGACAGAGACGGGGACTGCTCAGTGCGCCGACAGCCAGTGTGCGGCACGAGGGGGCGCAATCCTGCACCACTGGAGAGTGCAGACCGAAGCCCCGGCCACTCTCGCACAGGCAGGAAAGGACCTGGCCCTCAGGCTGGAGCCCATTGGCCTCTGCCCTTCTGAAGGCTGGTGGCTTCAGCACTTGACAGCCTTCCTCGCTCTAAATGACAGCGTGGGCGCGGTCGGCCCTCCCAGACCCCGCGGCAATGTCCAATCTGTGCCCTTTCTGTCTCGGGGGTCCTCGTCAGGACTTCCCTGCCAGTGGGGTCACGCGGCGCCCCCTGCGGCCACTGTCCCACCCCGAGCCTGTTCCAAGGGTGGCCATCTTGTAGTGGTGTCAGCTCTCCCCTCCTCTACCTGCTGGTGGCCACTCGGTCGTGCACTTGTCACCTGTAAGCACACAGGTCACCTTCACCGTGGGACAGTGGCACGCTGTGGGACACAGGCGCCCTACCCACCAAGGTGACACCTTTGGAAAGTGTCCCCATTTTCCCCATGCAGGAGGCGAGGCAGGTACAGACGACCTGCTCGAGCCGTGGGCGTGCTCTGAGGCCAGCTCTCCCCTGTTCCTGGGGCGTCAGGGACCCTCCGGGGCCGTGGGCCTCCGCTCTGCTCCGTGCCAATCAGACTTGCCAGCCGCTGGCCAGGAAAGAGCATCCAGGCAGCCCCGGCACCGTCCTCGGGGGTTCTGGGTCCTTTCTCTGAAGTGCCGTGGAACTCGGGGCAGCCACATGCTACGGAGCTCGCCGGGGGCCCCCAACACAAGTCTGGGCCCCATCTGCACATACCCGGTTGGCTGGCGGCCAGGAAGGGCCAGGTTAGCACACGGTGGGGCTTGGGCTGCCAGTCCCTCATGGAGCCTAGGGCGCCCGGCCGCGTGTGTGGGAGCCTCCAAGTCCCGAGAGGGGCACTGGGGGGAAGGGATTGCGCGCGGCCGTCCCTCCGGGCAAGGGTCTCAGGATCTCTCGTTTCCCCTTCTCTGTCTCTCTTTGTGAGTGCATGTGACCTTGCAGCGCTAAAACAAACAAAAGCTGGTTGTGGCCCCAGCCTTGTGCCTCCAGGCAGGTCCCTCAGTTCTCCGAGCTTAGGGCACCTCGCCTCCGCCTCTGTGTGGGAGCCTCCGTGTGGGAGAGGGAGAGCCTGCGGGGCCTAACAGGAGTTTGTGAGTCAGATGAGGCCGTGAACCTGGGCGGGGTGGGTGGGGCGGCAGCAGACAGCAGACAGCAGAAGCAATGCTTCCTGACTTTGGGCCCAAACTTGCCCTGGTGCCCTGAGCACTGCGGAGGTCGGCTCCCCGAGATCCGAGATCCGAGATCGAGACCGCGCTGCAGAGGTCCCTGGCGCAGGGGGCCGCTCACTCAGAGCCCGCTTACGGGCAGCCCCCAGCCCCCACCAGCCGCGCGGCCTGCGCGGCAGTGAGTGCCGTGACCTGTGGCCTAGGGTAGGGTGTTGGCTCTCCAGCTGCAGGAAGCCCTCGGGGGTCAGGGACCTGCCAAGTCCCACAGGGTGTCCCGAGCTGCTGCTGCCACCCCACCCTGCCTGCACCACTCTCCGCTGGAGGAGAGTCTGAGACACCACCCACAGCAAGGCCCGCCTCACGGACGCGCAGAGGGCGGTGCTCCGGGTCAGCTCTGAGCCCCTGGTGACACAGGCTGCGCTGATTGTGGGGATGGCACACGGCTTTGCATCGTCCTGCGCCACGTCGTCCCTAACCCACGTGAAGGCCTGCCTTCACTCACCCTGGCTGCTGCCTGAACCAGCTGGCCACCCCGCTGGGGCCCAGGCATTGCGTGTACCCCATCATGGTCCCGATGGTGACATGTTACAATGTATGCTGTTGATGTCCAGGTCACAAGTGAGGACGTTTCTCCGGGGAATGGCAGGGTCAGAGGGTCTACTGTGTCCCCTCCCCGTCCTGCCCCATGGGGCCCTCTGCGGCCAGGCCGCCTCTCCTTGAAGGGTCTTGCTCCCTGAGAGTCCAGCCCCCACTCGTGGGGGAAGACTGAGCCCTGGCATCGGCCGTGCTCAGCCCCTCAGCTCTCCCCCTGTCATCCCCTCGCCTTCCTCCCTGTGGTTTGCCCAGAACTCGGCAGCCAGCCCTGGAGGGATGCTCCAGAGCCTCCCCCAAAGGGCACAGACTCCAGCAGGTGGTACGTCACAGCCAGCCCTCCGCACCCACATCCGCCACACGGGAGCCAGAAGGAGGCCAGCTGGGAACGCCCTGTCCCAGGTCTGTCCCAGTCTGTCTCAGTCTGTCCCAGGTCTGTCCCGGTCTGTCTCGGTCTGTCCCGGTCTGCCCAGGTCTGTCCCGGTCTGTCCCAGGTCTGTCCCAGGTCTGTCCCGGTCTGTCCCAGGTCTGTCCAGGTCTGTCCCAGGTCTGTCCCAGGTCTGTCCCGGTCTGTCCCAGGTCTGGCCCGGGCCGTGCCCGTCCCAGGTCTGTCCCAGGTCTGTCCAAGGTCTGTCCCGGTCTGCCCAGGTCTGTCCAGGTCTGCCCCAGGTCTGTCCTGGTCCTGTCCAGGTCTGCCCCAGGTCTGTCCTGGTCTGTCCCGGGTCTGTTCCAGGTCTGTCCTGGTCTGTCCCGGGTCTGTTCCAGGTCTGTCCCAGGTCTGTCCAGGTCTGTCCCAGGTCTGTCCCAGGTCTGTCCAGGTCTGTCCCAGGTCTAGCTCTGGCTGCAACCGAGCAGGAACAGGGGGAGGCGGTAGCTTCTGCACCTCAGCCTTGAGAGTCCCTGCGCTGACAGCTGGAACTGCGGGGATCCGGCCTCAGTCCCACAGGCCCCGTCAGGAGAAGGCAACACACAGCCGCAGTGGTGTCTGTGCCTGCCTGAGGAAGGGCTGCTTCCCCTGGAGCAGCTCACTGTAGGACAGTGGGAGCCTCATCCATCCCCATGCCCGGGGACCATGCCGACTCCTTCCGCCCGGGAATTCTTCTGTACTGAGCAAACAAACAGCATCCCTGAGGACGTCCACTTCGCCATCAAAGTCATCTCTCGGACAGACTGGGAGAGCAGCAGTGTCACCGCCCTGCCATCGTCGGGGGCTGCTCAGTACCGCACGGCACACAGAGCCACGCGGTGTATGTGGAGCGCACCTGCCGTGGGCCGGCTGCTGGCTCAGCGCCCCCTCTCCTGGACAGTGCTGATGGTAGACCCTTCAGGGCTGTGCGGAGTGGCCTGTGGGCCAATTTTTTTTTTCTTTTTAGGTTTTTGCCATAGGGCGTGTGCACTCACCAGAGAGAGACAGAGAGGGGGAAGTGAGAGATCACCTCCGGGCGCGATGGCCATGCCACTGTCCTTCTCCTATTCTCCCCCTGGGCTTTTGGGCACGTACCCATGCATGCCCAGAGTGATTTTCAAGTCGCCAGGTCTGGGATTCGAACCGTGGTCAGCCACATAGGAGTCCCGCACTTAACCACCATGCCACCTGCTGGTCCTGGGCCAGCGTCCTCCACCGTGGCCAGTCCAGTACCTCTCTCCGTGTGTCAGAGCACACTGTCACCTGTGGGTGTCACTGCCCGGGACGAGCTAAGGACTTTTCAGACGGAATCAATTTCAGGAAGAAGCGATGGGCAGGTGTGTCCAAGCTCCTCAGGATGCTGCCGGAATGGCCGATGGGGGAACCTGCTGAGTCCGGCACTCTGATTTTCCCCACGGGACAGCCCCCAGAACAGAGTAAGAGTCCCCGTCAGGGAGCCGGCGTCTCCCGGCACGCCCTCGCCAGCACTGCCTGGACCTCGCGGGCGCACGCACGCCACTTACCTTCTGCCTGATGCGGGGCAGAACGTCCACCAGCGGCTGCAGGCCTGGGTGGTGGGTCCCCAGCTGTGGCACAGACACGAGGACGTTATCGAGATGGGGTGGGGCGCGCGGGCCACAGGCCGCACAGGAAGCCGGCTGCGAGTCCCAGCTCCACCTCGGCATGGGTTACCTTCAGAAACACGCCTATCACCGCCAGGCCGTCCTCCCCCAGCGCAGCCTCCTGGTAGCTGGGGTATCTCCCGGAGTCCCAGTGAACCACGTGCAGCTGAGACAGGACAGAGAGTTCCGACGCTTTGTAACTTGGAAACAACAGCCCCTTCCCTGTCTTCAGGCAGCCCTGCGAGTCCCCTGGAGGTGTCAGGGAGCTGAGCTGTCACCACCCGGCATCTCTGGAGCTCCCACACCGACAGAACCTCGGCACGAGACAGGACCTCAGCACTGGGAGGACCTGGGCGTTGGCAGCGGAGTGGAGCGGGAGCCTGTGGACCCCGCCCCGCCGGGATGGTGGTTTCCTCGCTCTCTCCTCGGCCCCTTTTTTTAGGAATGGTGGTTTCCAGGCTCTCTCCTAGGCCCCCTTGAACAGGGTCACCAGATAGTGGAACCACAGCGCCTCACGTGCTGCTTCTCCTCCGCCTGTGCCCACCCTTGATCTTCACCCAGGTCTTCACTTGATACGTCTCCCTCCATTTCCCATGGTAGCGGGGACCTGGGAGTGTGGTCTGTGGTCCAAACCTGCATCCGAATTGCGACTTGACAAGGGTTCAGTCAGGGTCACAGGGGCTGGGAAAGGGCTCTTGGGGTCACAGTGGTAGGAGGAGGACTGTGGGCACGACTCTGGGCCCAGATACTGGGCCTGGCTCAGCTTCTCGTGCCGAGAGCGCGGTCTGGGCGAGGGGACCTGGCATCTGCCCGGATTTCCTTCCGAGCCCCGGGTGGTGGCGGAGGTTCTAACTGGAGTACCAGACAGGGCAGGGGGAGCCCTGGAACCTCTGGTCTGTGGAGTGCCCTGCTGGGGTCACCCCGGTGGGCTAGGGGCTCCCAGGGCCTGGGGTTGCAGTGCTTGGGGCACCTTCCTCCTGCAAGTCTCAATGCTCCCAGCTGTGCACATCTGGGCCAGGGGTGACTGTGGTCTCTGCCTACCTGTAACTCACCTGGGATGCCATGCCCACGGGCCTGGGAGGAGCACCAGCTGGTCTGGGAGGCCCTGACTGGGGCCTTCTTCCTCTGCAGGGCCCGCCTCTGGAGCTGGGTCTGCCTGCCAGAGACCCTCCCAGCCCACCCTCCCAGCCCCAGGCTGGCAGCTGCTGGGAAGAGGCAGGAGCCCTGGGAGCGCAGCAGCAGAGAGGCTGGGGGCCCAGCTCTCTGATACAGTTATCTGTTAATACATTGCAACAGTTGTCCTCTGTTAAAGTATCTGTTCATTAAGAGCAGAGCTGAAGATAGTTACTAAGCTATCAGGCATGTGTTAAATGAAAGGCAGCTGTGTTGCAAGCCTTTGTTCTCTTTTGTAGCTACTTTAAATGTCACATAATGATAACAACAGATGTAACTGGCTTTCAGAAGACCCCCAGAGGTCATCACCTCCAGCCCTGTGGCAGCTGTCGGACTAGTTCTAGCGTAACTACAATGTAACTTCCATAATGTCCGTCACCACCAAGTTGAAACAGAAGTGCTCCTAACTTGAAGCGTTTGGGAATCCAGGACAGAGGGCGTGGACATGGCTAGGGAGACTCCAGGACCCGGGGGCAGCCTCCTGGGTTCTCCCTGTACAGTTGTGTGCCTTTTTCTTTTCTTTTCTTTCCTTTTCTTTCTTTCTTTCTTTCTTTCTTTCTTTCTTTCTTTCTTTCTTTCTTTCTTTCTTTCTTTCTTTCTTTCTTTCTTTTGTATGTTGGAAAACTTTAATAGTCAACTGTTGGTGGAAATTGATAAGGTACCACTTAGCGCCCCAACATAACTACAAAAGCTACTCCCTGACATTTCTCTCTCCTCGTCCTCTTTGCACTGTCATTTTGGCAGGTAGCTTTAAGAAGATGATCCTGGGACCAGCAGGTGGCGTAATAGTTACGTCTCTGGACTCCCATGTAGTCAACCGTAGCTCGTGTCATGGACCTTGGTGGCTAAAAATAAAAACGTGTGTGTGTGTCCAAGATCCCGAGAAGAGAATGGAGAAGAAGGGATTGGGTCGTGCCCATCCCGATGGGGGGGGGGTGATTTCTTGCTTTCTGTCTCTGTGTCTCCGGTGAGCGCATGCGCCCTATAGAAAAAATCTCTCTCTAAAATAAAGATGACCTCTACCGTAAAGATTTTCAGTCTTGATAAAGGGCCCCTGCCCTGCCAGCCGGTAACTGCTGCACACTTGCTGTTGGGAGTGTGGGCTGTTCTCAAACCCCAGCTGTGCAGCATCAGCAGTTACGTAGCCACCCAGAACCTCAGTCTCTTCTAAGCTAGAGAGCTTGGGGTGGGAGTGAGACTGGACAGGCAGGGCGGGCAGCTGTGCTGAGTGCTGGCAGTCCCGGGTCCCAGAGCCCAGCATCTGGAGAGCGGGGGGCGGGCCGCCGGCAGCAGGGCCCAGCACACAGGAGGCACACGGAGAGTGCTACTGGGGTGACATCTCGAACCTCAGCTGGGTACGCGCGGCCGTCCACCGTGTGCTCGGAGCCCCACTCGCTGGCTGCTCCCCAGTGGAAGTGGAACTGCTTCAGCCTGTACGGGGGGCCCGCCGCTGATCCCTGCAGACGACAGCAGTGAGATGTGGGTGACTTTGCCCATTGGAGCCGTGGGGGTGCCGTGGCCCTGGCTGCACTGGGGTCACAGAGCGCCACTCACAAGGGATTGCCGTATTGCTGAGGTGACACACGGGAGGGTAGGGACCCCGAAAGCTGACGCTCATCTGCTTCTCTCACCCCTCCAGTCACCTGCCCCGGCCGGGCAGGCTCCCAGCAAGTGGCAGAATGGACGGAGGTCCCCAGCATCGCCACTAGGAGGCGGCAGGGCTCAACACTGCACCTGAGCTCGGAAGGGTCGGCTCTGAGAGGCCTGCCGGTCCACCACCCCGCCAGGTTTCCCGATGTCTCTTTTTTCTGTATTTATTTCTGTATTTCATTTTTAAGGTGTTGTTTGTTTTGCCGTCGGGTATGTGAGGTGGCCGGGAGGAGACAGAGATCTGATGGGAGGGGGATGAGAAACCCACCCGGGGTGGTCACGGCCCCTTCTCCATTTCCCACCTAGGGTTTGGGCACCCGAGGCGTACACCAGGTGTGGCTGTCCTTCCTTCCTTTCCTTCTTTCAGGAGATGTTTTTGCTACAGAATGCACACGCTCGTCAGAGAGACAAACTGAGAAATCACCCCCAGGGGGTGGCCACGCCCCAGTCCCTTCTCCATTCTCGGGATTTGGGGCACAATGCACATGTGCCCAGTGTGATTTTCAAGCTAGTCGGCCATGTGGGAGTCCAGCACCTTAACCACCACGCCACCTGCCGGCCTCTAGGCATTTCTTTAATAAAAAAAAAAAGCCTTTTGAATAAAAAACAAAGCAAAACCAAGCAGCTTAAGCCCCGTCACCAAGAAGTGTTGGAAGACAGCTCAGAGCCAAGGTCTTTGCAGGCCCTCGCCATTCCGTGAGCTCCACGTCCCCGCAGCCCTGCTGACCCAGGCCACGGTGGGGTCAGGGCTGTCGCCATGCTGCCTCTGAGTCACGGCTCAGCGAGGGGTCGAGCTGGCACAGCCCTTCCCAACTGCCTGGTGCCCAGTGCCCCAGCTCAGTGGCTCACGGGGGCCTGGCTCTGAGGCATGTGCTAGTGCTGCCACCCCTAGACTCCGAGTGGCGGCTCAGCCAGCGTCCCGATGCCACACGGCGGCGGCTGCTGCAAATGTGAGAAAGCCCCCCCCAGGGGGGATGGCCACGCCGCAATCCCTTCGCCTCCATGCTCCTCTTGGGATCTTGGGCACGCACGCACATGCGCCCGGCGTGAGTTTAAGCCAC